AGGGTGCATGTGGGAGGCAACCAATCAATGCGTCTCTCTCACATCGATGTTTCTCTCTCTGTGTCTCCCCCCCCTCTTCCACTCTCTCCAAAAATCAATGGAAAAGTATCCTCAGGTGAGGATTCACAAACAACAACAAACAAACAAAGAATTGAAAAAGTGACTCTTGTTGGACAGTTCACCTGTGCCAGGCACTTCATATGCACATTTTCTCACCCTTACACCTGGCCAGGAGGAAGGAACTGTACTGCACAGGTGAGAAGTGAAGTTCAGAGCAGTCGCTGCTCAGGGCCGTTGCGTGGGAGGCTGGGTTTCACACCCAGGCTGGACACCGAGGCCATTGCTCTGCATATTCCAAACTGCTCTCTCCTGTGACGCGGGCTCGGGGCACACTGCATGGAGGCGGGCAAAGGGCAAGGTAGCCTTGCATGAGGCCAGAGGAAACTTGGCTCTTGGACTTGGCCTGAGAGAGTCCATGTTCTGGGATGTTCTTCCTGTGATGTTTTCTGAAACAACGTTGAGAACAGTGTTGGGCCCACAGGGGACGTGGCGGCCGGGGCTGGACAGAATGACCCTGCTGGCCGCCGGGGGAGCCTGTCACTGGCGTGGCCCTGACGGAGCCATCTGTCCTGCTGTCCTAGATGCTTCCTTCCGAGGCCGACTTTGTCATTTTTAGGTCGGCCCCAGCCTGGGAGGCCGTCTGGTGACAAGATGACCAAAACACAAGCTCCTGCCTGCCAGATGGGCACCTCCACCTCCCCTGGGCATCCCAGGCGGGGCATGGCAGCACCACGAGGGCCATCTAGGGGTTCTGGGGGTGGTGGGGCAGGGGTGTCCCTGCTGGGAGAGTGGGGCCTGGAGTCCGGGAGAGGTGGCCTTGGCAGAGGACGGTGCTTCTGGACCATTCTGTCGTCCTGGGTAAAGGTTTTCTTCCTTCTGCCAAATATGGTGACTCTTTGGCCTAGGTCACTGAGCTATTCCTGGAAGGCGGGCAGCCTGCCAGTGTTCCAGGCAGGAGCTGACCTCGCTCTGTAAACAAATGCAGCGGAGCCACTGCCCAGCCCCCCTAAGCAGGGCTCCAAAGAGGTGAGGACCAGAGAGACAGGGACCTGGAGTCCATCCACGGCTGACCTCTGGGCGACACCAGGTGCTGGTCCCACCCCCCTTTCGGGCCCTTGTTCTGGAGGCACGTGGCACCTGGCCTTGGGCTCCTGAGCCTGGGGGTGAGGGTCCAGGTGGGCAGAGTCTGTGTGAGCCTGGCCTGGGGGTTGGGGGGGCAGGTGGGAACTCCAGGGGGAATGGGTGCCACCCCTAGGGCAGTGGGTCTCTCCTTAGACCAGAGAAAGGCAAGCTGAGAGGGCATGAGAGTCACATCAGTGAATTCAGGAAGATTCTCAGGAGTATGAACTCAGACTTGACATTCACCATCCGGATACTGGAGAGAGAGGGGAGCGTGGGCGGTGGGCTCACCCCAGCTCCCCTCGACTAGCGGGCAGGTTGCATACGTGCTCTGAGCCTCCGTCTCCTCAGCGATAAAGTCCCAGGGTGTTGGGAGGAGTGATGGACACCTCGGAAGCGCTCAGGCTAGTGTCTGGCTCCTGGTCAGTGCTCGGTAATGAGGGCAGGGATCACCTTCCCCACCACCGTCATCACCACCATCACGTGATCCTTTTTTTAATGAGACTTTGGTTAGTGCCTTTGGGGCCACAGATCTGAGACCATTTAGTTCTTATGTGACTCTGGTGAAGTGACTGGACCACGGTGAGCCTCGATTTCCTGATCTCTAAAATAGGGCTCATCATCATCATCATCATCATCATCATCATCATCACAATAAAATCTTTCAGAAAGTGTTGGGGGAAGTAAGTGACTTACTGTGAGAGCAGCTGGCTCAGGGCAGGCGGCACATAACTTAATTAGATGGGGAAGACCCTCATAAAACATCAGAAGGTCATTTTAGGGCCCTTCCCCCAAAGAACAACTTCACAAGGTGGGGGTCAGCACATGGGACTTATTACCTCAGAGGACGATGCAGTTTAGTGACTGAGGCAGGAGGGTTTCAGAGGCAAGGGAAGAAATCCCGTCAAATTCGCTTGAGAAAATAGACACGGTGCCCGAGGGGTTTCAGCTGGGCTTCAGGCACGGCTTGATCCAGGCATTTTTAACAATGGCGTCTGTCTGTCTCAGGCTCTCCTTCCCACGTGTCTTTCTCAGACAGGCTTGCTCCTCCTTTGGGCAAAGCTAGCTGCTGCTCGTGCCCAGTTCGCATCATCCCACAGCTTGCTTCAGAAAAAAGAGCAACGCTGTTTGTTGTAAGCACTGCATTTCCTCAAAAGGACTGGTTGGGTCCTATGACCACCCTTGGACAACGGACTAGATTGGGTCTGGGTCACATGCCCAGCCCCTTGGCAAAGCCTGAGGGCCCTTTGATCGACAGCCCCATTGGAATCCGGGGTGGGGGGAGGGGCGTTCCCATAAAGCAAAGACGTGTGCAGTTACCAGAAGGCAGTGGGCTCGCTGGGCAGCCAGATGCAATAGCTGTCGACGTGAGTTAAAAATATGCTCTAGGTAAACCCCTGGGTGAACTGATGCATCATCTTAATGGGCTGTTAAGGGGAGGGGAATGCTCTGAGATTTCATTCTACGGGTCCCGCGGAGCCCTGGCAGGGCAGGATTCAGAGCCTGGGCGCCCACTGGGCTGCCTTGTCCTACGCACACAGCAGACCCTCAGGCTGCCCCAGACCACACCCAAACCCTCACCCCTGCCTTCAAGGCTGCCTGGGGAGGCCAGACTGCCCCTTTGCTAGGGGGGAGGGTCCTAGGCATTTGAGGGTCCGAAGGCTGCAAATTCATACCTGCTTAGATGCCTGCCGGGAGGGGATGGAGTGGGATGCAGACGGCCTGAAAAGAGCCCTGTCCTGGGACTTGGCAGCTGAGGGACTGCCGCCAGCCCCGCCCCATCCCAGCTGCATAACCTTGGCCACAGACTGCCTGCTGCCCTGGGCCTCCCCCTCTGCCAAGCGAGGGGCCGGGCTGGCTGGTAGCTGACGTCTCTCCCCATGCTGACATTCTGGAAATCTATGAATGTTATTAAATTCATGAATCGGCTTCTTTGCCTGGAACAAGTCAGCTTAAAATACATGCAAATGGCACTAAGTATAGCTGTTCCCTCGCTGAGGAGGCAGCCTGGCAATCACATCCTTTGGAATGGGCTGCGGCACGCAAGCGGGAGCCGCACCGGCCGAGGCCGGCCCGCAGCAGCCGCCTCCGAAGGCAACTGGGGCTCTGGGCCCTGCCCAGCCCGGAGTCCCGAGGCCTGTCGTTAGCAGGGAGGGGAGAGGCAGCCGCTCTGGATGGGAGCCTGGATGGGCCAGGATCCATCTGGGCTCTCGGCCTGCGCTATCTCATTGAATCCTCACAGCAGTCCTCAGAGGGAGTCTTCCTGTTCCCCGGGAACCCGTGAGAAAACCAAGGTCTACACTTGCCCGAGTCGCACGGGAGGCAATGCTGAGGTTAGAACCCGGGCCTGGCTGACTCCAGAATCCCCGCGCTCCCTCCCACCCCGGGCCAGCGGGGTCTCCCCCCAACATGCCCAGCTCAGCAGGGTCACCGCACCTGGGCCCCGCTCTGTGGCCCATGCAGAGCCTTCATTCATTCCCTCCGTCAGCCTGTGCCCAGAGCACCTACTGTGCGCTGGCCCCATTCCAGGGACTCTGAATGGAGGCAGAATTGTAAACAGGACAGACGTGGCCTCAGTCTCCTCGGAGCTTACGTGCTCATGGAGTCAGCGCGTGAACAGGGGAATGAAGAAATGAACTGTGGGTTGTGATACGTGCTCAGAAGGGAACAGAGAGACCCCGAGATCACCAGGGGCCTGGCTTGGAGGGGCTGTTTAGCAGAGACCTTCCCCCGAGATGGTGCCGCCCTAACCCAGCGCAGACGGAGGCCCCGGCCCCTGTCTCAGCACTTGTTCACGTGCCACCCTGACCAAGTCACTTACTCTTTCTGAGCCCCTGTCTCCCCATCTGTGAAAGGGAGGAATGGTACTCCTGTGAGAGGGTGGCTCTGGGGATGGGAAACTACCGTATGCGAAGCGCCCACCGCGGTGCCTGGCCCGTAAAATTCACCTGTTTTTACTGTCACTGTACTTCCTGTCCTGGGCCCGGGGCTGTACCATCGAGTCCCTCTGTGGCTGAGCCCAGAGACCACCAAATGTAAGGCGGATGTGGGAACCAGGCCAGGAATTGGGATCCCGGACCCAGTCCTGGCTCTGCTACCTGCTGCTCAGTGACCGTGGCAGGTCAGGGAACACCCGGGGTCTTGGCGGGTCCCCGCCCCCCAGATGCCTGTGACACATCGAACAGCTCTGCATCAGTCCAGTTGCCCGTCCAACCAGCTGCACGACCTTGGCAGGTTTCTTTGTCCCTGGGCCCAGTTTCCTCTTCCGCCGGGACTAACAATAGCCACCTCGCTATCACTGTGAGGCCCAGATGACAGGGAGAAAGGGGAGGTCGCCAAGCTTGGCCCAGCTGTCCCCACCCTTCGCCAGCCAGCAGGGGCCCCAGTGGGGACTCCTGGGGCCCAGGGAGAAGACGGCTGGCCGTGGGCTGGTCCTGGAGCTGCTCTGCAGGTGCCGGCAGGCCCTGCGTCTCGTGAGCCAGCTCTCCACAGCTGTGCTCAATGGGGGGCATGGCTGGGTGACGTCAGTATCCTACGTCACCCACCCTGAGGAACACTGGACCCGGGTGTGTACCTGCCTCTGGACAACTGGAAGGGACGGAGACAAACTGGCAGCCTCAGGCCCCGCTGCGTGCCAGGGAACCCTCACAACGACCTTTCACAGGGCCATGGCGCGGTTTCAGAGAGGTTAAGTAACCTGCCCAGAGTCACACAGCTTGGAACTGAATTTGAACCCAGGTCTGTCAGACTCCCAAAGGCACAGCCTGCTTTGGCATCTCCTCTTGGGGCTCCCCGGGCCCCACCCTGCAGCCTGGTCAGCTCGCCGGGGTTCAAGTCCATTCCTGATGGTCCTTCTTCTTTCCCAGGAACCCCTAGCTGTTCAAGCCACAACAGGCTCTGCACCAGCTCCTCTGGCCTAGGACTAGTCTGGCCCAGACTCTCCTCGGACTCCAGTGGCCAGTGGCAGGGCCGGCGAGCCTGCTGGATGGGACCCAGGGGGTGGTGTGTGAGGCTAACTCCCTCTGACAAGCCCGGGAGCTGTGCCCCAGGGGCTGGCCAAGCTGCCCCCAGGAGCGCTCCCGCTGGCAGGGAAGCTGCCGGATTGATCTCGGAATGAAATCAGGGCCAGGCCTGGCTGGACGTCTGGGCTCTGACCCTGCCTGGCTCCCACGGCAGCCGTTGGCTCCCACGACTGGCCAGGGTTTGCTTCTGCGAAGGCAGAAGGCTTCTGGCCGGGGAGGGGGGACATGTGGGACCCCATGAGAAGGGCTATCTTCATTCCGTCGGTGGCTGAGAAATGCCCCTTAGGAGGCTCAGATGTCCACAGTGGGGGCTGCAGCAGGCAACGGGGCGAGACTCCTAAGGCGGTGAACCTCTTGGTAGGTGGACCCTGGCCGCCCGGTGCAGGCTGCTCTACCACAGGATGCCTGGGCCGAAGGCGTGGAGTCACCCTAGCCGCTTGGTTTTCTCCACACTGTGAGTCAGGCCCAATCCTGTGTGCTCCGCCTGTGCCTCCAGATCCCAGATTCCAGTTCCTCTGCTGCCTCGGGGATGATAAGTGTCTACCCCACAGGGTAGCCAGCAAGGACTAAATTAGCTAACAGGTAAGGGCCCAGGACAGGGCCTGGCACGGAGTAAGTGCCATCTAAGCATTTGTTACTGTCCATCCCGGGAATCATGCCTTCACTCTGCACTCACTTACCGAGAGCCCATCCACGTGCAATTGCTGCTTCGGGGTTCATGTGCCCCCCCCTTCTCTCCTGAGGGAGGAGGCGTCTTACCAGGAGGGAGTTTTGGCACCTTCGCTCCTGATCCCCAGAGCCTGCAGAGCCGCGCACAGTGCCGGGCTCACACGGCTGCTCCTCAGATGTTCGCCGAGTGATGACTGGCAGTGTGGGGCGCCCGCCCTCGGCAGCATTTGGTGAAGACCGATGGCCTGCGATCAGGGCCTTGTCCCCACAACAACCCTGCACGGTGGGCGGCAGCACCCGCTTCATAGACGAGGAAGTTGGGATCCACGAGCTCAGTCACCTGGACAGAAAGCAGGCGCTGGGTTCCGGCCAGAGCTGGAGGTACTACTTAGTGAGCACCTGCTGTGTACCAGGCCTTGTGCCCGGAGACTTGCAAGATGCATTCATCCGCATGGCTGCCCCTTCCCCCAGTCCCCGGCCTCTGAAAGGCACATCAACCAGGGAGGCAGGGAGGGGTGCAGAAGCCCCAGGCTTCCTCCCTTTCTCCCTCAGAGGAGCGGAGGCCCAAGGGACCAGAGCTTCTCCAGGAGCTTTTAATAGCGTGATTGCTCACCCACACCCCGCAGCCTTGTGAGTCCCATTGACAAAAACACCAGAGGGTGTTCGGACGCCATCCATTGCACCTGTAATTCCCAGCTTCCGGACTCTCCCCAGGAGCCTCATTCCTCTATTTCCCTGGAGGCTCCCTGGGAGCCAAGGACTCGGGGACAGAGCTGGAGTCTTGGCGATGTTTACTGCAGCATCATTGTAAGGCTCCGGCCGGGGTGTCACGCATTAGACTTGGCTTTGAGGGCTCCAGCGGCCTTGGACCTGAGTCCTGTCTGCCCCTCTCGTTAGCTGTGAGAGGCCCGGCAATTACGACGCCTCTTTGAGCTTCCATTTCCTCATCTGAAAGTTGAGATGATGACCATGACCCTACAAAACGGTTGCAAGGATGAAACGAGGGAAGGCAGGCACAGTGCCCAGCACATTGGCCTCACGGGGCGATGTTCCTTGCACTGTGGTTGCATCTGACCCGTTGATGCACTCAGTGTATTTACCGAAAGCCCACTTTGCATGAGGAGTCCGTCTTTTTCTTGATTCGATAGCTTTCCAGGGTCAAGGCCTGAGGTTAGGCTCAGGCGGATGGAGGCAGGTCCCGGGACTTTGTGAGGAGCTGTCCAATGGTGTGCATGTGCGTGCATGTGCGTGTGCCATGTGTGCACATGTGTCCACCCATCCCCAGGTGGTTCTGTCCCAACTTCACCCTTTGAGGGAGGAGGAGGAGAGCCCCTCCACGCAGGCACAGCCACCATCGGAGGCACCGTGTGTGGGTGGGTAGAGCCGCGGTGGGTGCAGGAGGACCGTGTTGTTGGAAGTCTAGCCCAGCTGCACAAGGACTGGGCGGGCCAAGGCCTGAGGGATGGGCCCTGGCACCTGCTGCCTTGGACACTTGGATGACTGAGGCTGAAATAGGGGTGCCATGGTTCTTCCCGGGGCTGGTGCCTTTCCCACCAACCACAAGTCTCCGACGCCATGTCCTAGGGCTCAGCAGGCCAGGGCTGAGAGAGCAGGCGGGGGTCTGTCCTGGGGCACCCAGGCAGAGTGGGAGGGACTGCTTTGATAGTATCAAGGCTCTGTAAGGCACATAGGTTTTCGTTTGTCTTCCTGTAAGATGGGCCTAGGAGCCCTCAACCACAGGAGGGGAGAAGGACTAACACGTATCAGTGATCATTCTTGCTAAGATACGGGCTTGGCTTCACCAAGGCTCTGCCAGTTATGAGCTGTGTGACCTTGGGCTAGTTACACAGCCTCTCTGAGTTATGGTTTCCTAATCTGTAAAATAGATAGAAACCCCTGCGTCACAGGACAGCTGTGAAAACTAGACAATATGATGCATGTCTGGCACCTCATGGAGCAGCTGGCCCAAAGTAAGCCTGTGACAATATATATATTACATATGCTATATATTGTATACATATATAAATACAGAAAATATGTAAGTATAATATATAGTATATGTACAATATAATACATGTGAAATACAACAATTCAATATATACACATTACATAGAGTATATAATGTATTTCATATAAATCAGCATATTCAATATATTAAAATATAAAATACATAAATACATATAGCTTTTTAAAAAAAATGTCATGACAACCCTGTGAGGTAGGCATTTTCATCTCAAGTTGAGGCAGAGAAACAGAGGTGTCACCTTCCTTGTTAGGGTCACATGGATGGTACAGTCCACTGTACAGTGGACCCAGGACCACCCCAAGGCCCGGCCTTTTTCTAAGGCACCGAGACCCTCCCACACTCACACCTGGGAGCCTGCAGAAGCCCTTCAGAGCTCTAGGCCCTTGGGGGATGGGAAGGGTTTGGCCCCGGGGCTGGTGTGGGTTGGGCAAGCTTGGGAGGCAACTTCTCTGGGACCGACGGGGGTGTGTGGTGGAGACAGGCCATTCACTGTGTGGCACCTTTACCTCTGACTCAGGTGACTCGGCCCATCGGTGCCTAAAGGCCACTCTAACTTCAGAGGACGGAGAGACACCTCTGGTGGGGCCAGAGAGAGGTACAGGGTCAGGGGGTCCCAGAACACAGCCCCGTCTTTGCTGTCCCACATCTTGGCCACCGTTGTGGCTATGCAATGTGGCTGTTCACTTACTCCGCAACTACTCATGGTGCCTGGCACTGTGCTAGATGCTGGGAACTCAAAGATCAACAAGACCCTTAAAGACGCCTGGTTTAAGCTGTAGAGCAGCGGTTCTCAACCTGTGGGTCGTGGCCCCTTTGGCGGTCGAAGGACCCTTTCACAGGGGTCGCCTAAGACCATCCTGCATATCAGATATTTACATGACGATCCATAACAGTAGCAACATTACAGTGATGAAGCAGCAACGAAAATAATTTTATGGTTGGGTCACAACATGAGGAACTGTATTGAAAGGGCCAGAAGGTTGAGAACCACTGCTGTAGAGACTAGGCCCCATGAGCCACAGGACAGGACAGGTGTGGTTTTACTCACGTGGAGGCTGGTGGCTCTCCAGGGCTCAGTGGAGAACATGCAAACCTCCCATCAGGACAGGTGTGAAGAGGCCGATCTGCCTCAGCTCAGAAAAGCAGGCAGCTGCTTCCTCCCGACTTTACTATAAACCAGGAAGCATGGCACCTGGGCCAGTATTTAGGCTGGACTAGGGGGTGGGGCTACAGAGCCTGTGTCCTTCCTTGAGACGCCATTGAGTTATGGCGGTTTTGCTTACAGACT